TTTATATACTGCTACAAATTGGTATTAAAGCTAAGTATTCTTTTACTTCATATAAAATCTAGCCCTAAAAATAATTGAATCTAAAAATAAGGTAAAACCTACAGATGAAGTGTACCTTTATACATGTACAAATAACAGGGAAGTCTTCACATTTTCTTGGAAAATAGATCACTTGTTCCTATTAAATTCTTTATTGAGTCAAACCTCTAGAAATTCTTCATTCATTAAAGTGAACTATATCAGTTATTATAAAAACTAAATTCTTTCTTTAACCCTATTAAATTAATTTTGGGGCTGGCGCCATGGCTCACTTGGTTAATCCTCCGCCTACGGCACCAGCATTCCATATGGGCACCGGGTTCTAGTCCCAGTTGCTCCTCTTCCAGTCCAGCTCTCTGCTGTAGCCCGGGAGGGAAGTGGAGGATGGCCTGAGTGCTTGGGTCCCTGTATCCCCATGGGAGATCAGGAGGAAGCACCTGGCTCCTGGTTTTGGATTGGCACAGTAGCAGCCATTTGGGGAGTGAACCAACAGAAGGCAGACCTTTCTCTCTGTCTCTCTCTCTCCCACTGTCTATAACTCTACCTATCAAATAAAAAAATTAATTTGTGTCCCAGAGAGATCAATATATTTTAGTTATAAATATGTTAGTATAAGGAAAAAAGAATCTCATGTTTGATCTCAGCAGCTTGGTTTCTATTATGAGAACCAACTGATCAACAATTCGCAAAATCTGCAAATACCAATTTCAGTGCCTAATATAAGCTTTGGTCCAGTTCATAGAAAAAGCCCATGAGAGAGAGAGAAAGAAACAAATTTATCTCCACAAGTTGTTACAGTTATTACACTTCTCTATTCCTGTCATAAGTCTATGCTTCCAGAATCCACTTTTCTCTAGAGTTTTTCTCTAAAGCTTAATAAGCAGAAAACACAGGAAAAGAAAAGCAGTTTTCAGAAAATGTGGTTACTTTGCTTATTACTGTACCATTTTTCTACTCCTTGAAGGACAACTATGAGGTTGACATATGTTTGAAAATATTCGAGTGACAAATTATATGCCTTTCAATTATCAGCAACTGTATTTTTCAGAGAAGATCGATACAATATGAGCAAATTACTTTATTAAGTGGCAGATATTAGAAGAGATTGGCTTCATTATTCAGAAGTATACCAGGAAATATAATTTTAAGCCACCAATTTTAATGCTAGTAACTTCCTACCTTTGTATATCTATCCATCAACATACCGAATAGGAAGAAAAAAAATTAAAATAAAATGATACTTTCATGAGTTTATTGTACTCCAAAAATATATATTAAAAAAGTGCTTTCAGATTCTTTTTTTTAATTTATTTATTTATTTGAATGGTATAGAGAGTTATACCCTTTTATACCTACCTACCTTTGCTTATCTTTCTTGAGATATGATTATGAAAGCTATACAAAATGCTAGAGGTATGGCTCTGCCACAGTTTTTTATAAAGACATGATGTCTTCTCTTTCGTTTCTAAAACTGTTTTCAATGCAAATAAAACTCCTAAATGGTGCCTTGGTGCCCTGAATGAGTTAAATTGTCCAGAGGGGGAAAAAATTAGTTTCAGTGACAATTATCTTATGTACCATTACAATAGATGCTTTTGCTAACATCCCTAAGTTATCAGTACTACATAACTGGGGTCCCTTACAAACTCAGGCCAATTCAATTAACAAGCACAAAGTACATTAAAATAGCATAAAAGGAATCTTCTCAATAGAATCATTTGAAATAGGAGAACTAACAAAATTTTCTAGTATCCAATGTCACAACAATGATTTAAATACAAAATGGTTTAATATAAAACATAAAACAATTGTTTAAATATAAAATAATATAAATATAAAATATAAAAATATGAAGATTCTGCTGTAGATTATGGTAGGGTCTACCATAATCAGCCAAAGATTGATATATAGAATAAAAAATTAGCAAGACAAAAATGCCTTAGGAGAGATCATTACCAAAACAAAAACAGTGAATTTCACTCTTAAGAATACCAGCTATAAGTCTGCTTTCTTACCGTACCATCAACAACATGTATAGCCACCAAAATAAACTATTCAAAAATAAATGTAACCAAGGAGATAAAAGACTTCTACACTTAAAACTACAAAACATTGCTGAAAGAAATTTACAAAGACATAAATAAATGAAACACAATAATGTTCATGATTTGGAAGACAATATTATTTAGATCATAATACTACCCAAAGTATTACACAGATTCAACAAAATATCAATTCTCAATGGCTTTTTTCATATTCAAATAGAAAAATCCATCCTAAAATTCTCAGGGAATCTCAAAAGATCCTGAAAAATCAAAAACGACATTCAAAAGAAAGAACAAAGTTGGAAGTCTCATATTTGCCAATTTCAACAGGGATAATAAAGCCATATTAATAATAAAAATTATAAAATAAAGTAAAAATAATATGATAAATAAAAACTATATTAATATTAAAACTATTGTAATCAAAATAGTGTGATGCTGGCAGAGATCCAAACCAATGACATAGAAAGCTCATAAATAAACTTCTACTTACACTCATGATCAAGTGATTTGTAATAAGAATCTCAATCATGTGCTAAGAATTCTTAACCATGTGGGTGCCAGTTCGAGTCCTGGCTGCTCCACTTCCCATCTAGCTTCCTGCTAATACAATTGAGAAAGCAGAAGGGGATACCCGGTTTGGTGGCCCCTGCTTCCATGTGGGAGACCCAAAAGAGGCTCCTGGATCCTGGCTTTGGCCTGGCCCAGCCCTGGCCTTTGTGGTCATGTGGGGAGTGAACCAGTAGATGGAAGATTTCCCTCTCTCTGTCTCACCCTCTCTCTAACTCTGCCTTTCAAATAAACAAATTTTAAAAAGAAAAGATATTCAATATTAATAATATTAGTCACCAGAAAAAATGCAAATCAAACCCACAATGAGTTACCACTTCACATCCAGTAGGATGACTATCATAAAAAAAATCCAAAAATAGAAAATAAGTATTGTGGAGAATGTGGAGGAATTGTGTACATCCCTTTAAAACAGATTCTTTTGTTTGTAGCCCAAAAGTTACCAGTACTGTTGCAATTCCTCCTAAACTGTGGACAATTTGATCAAAGGGCACAAAATACCTTAGACCAGCATAATAAGAATCACTGCTGGTAGAAATGTAATAGGATATAACTGCTATAGAAAACAGCTTATTGATAACTCAAAAAGTTGAATACAGAATTATCATATGATCCAGCAAATCCCATGCCTAGGTATGACCCAAAAGAATTAAAAGCAGGGACTAGGCCGGCGCCGCGGCTCACTAGGCTAATCCTCCGCCTAGCGGCGCCGGCACACCAGGTTCTAGTCCCGGTCGGGGTGCCGGATTCTGTCCCAGTTGCCCCTCTTCCAGGCCAGCTCTCTGCTGTGGCCAGGGAGTGCAGTGGAGGATGGCCCAAGTACTTGGGCCCTGCACCCCATGGGAGACCAGGAGAAGCACCTGGCTCCTGCCTTCGGATCAGCACGGTGTGCCAGCCGCAGCGCGCCAGCCATGGCGGCCATTGGAGGGTGAACCAACGGCAAAAGGAAGACCTTTCTCTCTGTCTCTCTCTCTCTCACTGTCCACTCTGCCTGTCAAAAAAAAAAAAGCAGGGACTAAAACATACACTTGTACAACACTGTTTATAGTAGAACTATTTGCAAAAGCCAAAAGGTAGAAACCACCTAAGGATCCATCAACAATGAAGGGATAACAAAAAGTACAGATAATACAACATAATATTATTTGGCCATAAAACGGAATTAAATTTTGATATGTGTCACAACATGACCAGACAAAAAGGACAGAAATATGATATTACTTATACAAGGTTACTAACATAGGCAAATTCATAGAGATAGAAAGTAAAAGAGAGGTTAAGAGCATGTGGGGAAGAGGAGGGAATCAGGAATTATTGCTTCAGATGATAAAAAAGTTCTGGAAAGAGAAAGTGGTGATAGTTACACAACATTGTGAATACGCTTAAAGCCAGTGAATTATATAATTTTAAATGGTTAAAATGACAAATTGTATATATTTTATCACAATAAAATATATTAATCTATGGTATGGGTATTGCAGTGCAACAGCTTAGGCCATCATTTTGGATGTCTTTATTCCACATCAAAGTGTCTGGTTTGAGTGCTAGTCAGGGCTTCTGATCCAGCTTCCTGTTAGTGCTCCTAGGAGGCAGCATGTGATGGCCTAAGTTCTTGGGTTCCTACCCTCCATGGGGGGCACCTGGATGCAGTTTCTGGCTCCTGGCTTCAGACTGAAATAGCCCTGACTATTGCAGGCACTGGAGAGTGAATTAGTCTGTGGAAGATCTCTGTCTCTCACTCTCTGTCATTCTTTCAAATAAATAAAAAATCTTAAAGAATAACAATAGTAATCTATTCAGTGAATACCTAATTATCTCCCATTGCAGCCAAAACCAACTTTGCTTATATTTCCAAATTACCAGTAAATGTAGTCTGTGTGTGTGCATGAACATAAAGCAAACCTCTTAAAAAACAGATCCTGGAGCACCAGTTCAATTCCTGGCTACTCCACTTCCAATCACGCTCCCTGTTAATGAGCCTGGGAAAGGAATAGATTACCCAAGTACTTGTGCCCCTCATCCATGTGGGAGACCCGAATGAAGCTCCTGGCTCCTGGTTTTGGCCTGGCCCAGTCCAGGCTATTGTGGCCATTTAGGGAGTGAACAAGTAGATGGAAGATCTGTCTCTCTCTGTATATATCCCCTTCTCTCTCTCTCTCTCTATATATATATATATCTGCCTTTAAAATAAATAAATAAATCTTAAAAAAAAAAATTCCAGGTCCTGGTATGCTATACACATTCAATAACATAGAATGGACCTACAAAAGTTACAAATAAATATAAATGCATTACATCAAAAACTTCATATGTTAACAGTCCAAGTGCCAAAAACGAATGTTGTACCTGATACAGCATAATAGGTTCTATGTTGTATCCTAAGGTATCAGCGAAGTTCTTAGCAATGACTGTTTTTCCACAACCCTACAAATGGAAACACAATCACTCAAAGGATTGATCAAAACAAACCATAGCCACAAAACTGAAGTTTACAGTGAGGCTGCCATTCTTACCTTTCCTCCCACTAAACATATGTCCTTAACCATGTGTGACTGCATCATTTCAGCCAGGAGCTGCTTATGGCCTAAAGTCTGGATGAAGCAGTCTGATGCACAAGGTTCACTCAATGGTCTGGTCCCAGCTGGCACCTACAATTAAAGAGAGGCAAATATAATATGCATATGCTTTTCTCAAAAGTTTAGTAACTTAAAGCACCTAATTCCCACGTGAATATCCTCCAGTAATTCCTTGCTCAATTCCACCCTAAACTATATTTTGATATTTCAATAGAGCAGAAACTATTTTCTCATTTACAGATCTTATGATGATTATCATCAAGCTTTCAAATCAATCATTTCTCTAAAATCCAAGTCCCATGTTCTCAGACATTCATAACAATCATGTCATTTCTGTGGTATTTATAACTTATAATAACAGTGTCAATGGAGAATGAAGTGTTTTCCCCCATATTTACTTGTTAGCATGAGATTTAAAATAAGTCTTAGGGCTAGCATTGTGGCGTAGAGAGTAAAACCACTGCCTGCCTGCGATGCTGGTATCCCATCTGGGTGACAGTTCGATTCCTGGATGCTCCACTTCCAATCCCACTCCCTGCTAATGGCCTGGGAAAAGCAATAAAAGATGGCTAAAGTGCATGGGTCCCTGCATCCATGTGGGAGACCCAGAATAAGCTCCTGGCTTCCAGCTTTGGCCCAGCCTGGAGCTGACCACTGAGCTATCTGGGGAGTGAAACAGAAGATGGAAGATCAATCTCTCCCTGTATCTCATTCTCTTTCTCTCTGCGTCTCCCCCTCTCTGCATAATGCTTTCAAATAATAAGTAAGTCTTTAAAATAAAATGAATCTTTCAACAGAGTATGACCCAACTACTTGGGAATCTGCAACCAACATGGGAGACCAGGATGGAGTCCCAGCTTCCTGTCTTCAAACTGGTCCAGCCCTGGCCGTTGTGGCCATCTGAGAAGTGTGAACCAGCAGATAGAAGATCAATCGATCGATCGATTGATCGATCTCTCTCCCTGTCTTTTCCTCTAACTCTGCCTTTCAAATAAATAAATAAATCTTAAAAAAAAAAAAACTCCTGTTGCCAAATAAAGTCACTGAAGTCAATTACATTTCATCTTTAAAAAATAAATCTTTCAGAATCTCCAGAGTCACCAAACACCTCCTGTTTTTTAAAAGCCATATCCATAAATCCTTTGCACATTTATCTTAGTTCACTGCTCAAAAGCATCTGTTCATAAAATCTCTCCCCATCGCAAACACCTACTTCTTCTTCTATTTTGTATCCTCTCCTTCTTAGGTTCCTGGGGCCTGCTCTGCTGAGGACTCTAGACTTGATCACACTAAAGAATGTAAACCCCACAGAACTGGACATTTGGAAGTGACAAGATCAGACTTGTACTTCAGAAAGATCATCTTGGCACTAACATAGTAAGTGAACTGGAAGGGACTGGAGACAATGAAGACACAGTTCACTACCAAAAGGAAGCAAATAATGAAGGCTTGCTCATACTTCACATGTTTGATCATACTGTATTAACTTTCACTTAAGCCTTATCACCTTTCCACCGGGGCAATTGGAAAAATCCTGTTGTTCTTCAAGGTTTAGCTCAAGTCCTACCTCCTATCTGAAGCTTTCCCAACTCCTTTCCCTGATTCTCAATGTTCCCGTCCTTCTCTATACCCCTATGACCACTCCAATGTTTTCCTTATTCATCTGTCACTGTATGAGGTCATTCATACGAAGGAGACATAAGAACATAGGAAGTAATCAATCTCAGCTTTGCAACTGCACAAGCTGGTGACTCTGGCTAAATCAATTAACTCATTTGCATCTCGGGTTTCCAATCTATAAAATGGAGACAAAATTATTTCTGGGGCTACTGGAGGATTTAAATAGCATAATATACACAAAGAGACAAATACAGGGACTAGTGCATAGTAAATACTCAGTAAATCTTAATATACAGCCTGGCTCCTGGTAGATATAATGTTTAGTTCAATAGATGAATAAATATAGTAACATGAATAAATATTAAATCATACCACACCAAAATTAAAATGTTTATTATGAAATTTGCCACAACATAAGAAGGCAACCATCTATTCTTTCCTACCTATATTATGCAGCATTTAGAGTTGCACTTACTGGCTTCACATGACAATCTTAGTGTTCTCAGGACCCTAAAAGAAAGAGTTAAATAAAGGGGAAGCCGAGCGAGCAGATGGAGCTCTCTGACCAATATCATCCCCTCTTCTAAAAACTGTTCAATCAAAACAGCTTATTTTTTAACTCTTTAAGGAAGCTGAGAAACATTTCACTGGAAAAGAGGTTTTGTAGCCACCAAATACACTTAAAAACACTATTTCTTACCGAGGACTCAGACTGCAAAATACTTTCATTAGTCAACATTTGACCTGAGTTTCCCAGAGGCAAACTTTAGATTTTTGAAGCAATGTTATCCCTAGGTTTCTCCTAAATTTTCCAACTTACAAGCACTTGTTGATTCTGTTTACATAGATACATAGGGATAACAAATACATAGATATAGCTATATGGTCAAAGACTTTCAAGAACATTGTAAACCTAATTCAGGCTATGAAAATGGTGAGAGCAAGGCGTATCTTAGAAACAATGAACCCGTGTCTTATTACCTTGATGGTCACCTCCGTTCCTGCAATTTGTATGGTCACAGAAGCCTGCGAGACAGGGCTTTCAGTCATCCTCTCCACTCTTACTATCTCTTTGGGAAGCAGAGGGCTTTTTGAATCCTGGAGCTCAAAGCGCTGTAAAATTGGAATAAAATCTTGTAATTTGCATTCTACTTCAGACTTAATGTTGGGTATCTGGAAGATTTCTATATAGTATACAAGTAGAGCTAAAACAAAAGGATTTTTTCTCTTTTTCTACTAATACCCTTACACTTAAATCAGTTATTAAAATGATATGAAAACAGTCTCTCAAATTTACTGGAAATACCTGGAATTTCTGAATTCCCAACTTGGTAGAAGTTCATAGCCTATATATCTCTGTAGTCAACAGTTCCAATTTCCAAACCAGGGATGATCTTATCCTACTGAAATAAAATAAGGCCTATGCCAATTTATTTCTTAAATCCACATGAAGTTCACATGTTGCTTGAAATTCATGAAAATAGAACTTCTTAGACACATTCTGCTATCTGCTTGTGTGAAAAGCTTAACTGATGAAAATACATTACAATGATCAATCTTCTACAGCATCTGGCCCAGTGCCTGCTATACTCAAGTCCTCCGTTTTCTCAAACTGGGTTTTTAAAAAGGGTTTACTTATTATTTATTTAATTATTTGTTTGAAAGAATTACAGAGAGAGGGGGAGAGACAGGTCTTTTGCCCACTGGTTCACTCCCCAGATGGCTGTACCAGCCAGACCTAGGCCAGGCCAAAGTGAGGAGCCAGAAGTGACTTCCCATGTGGATCCAGGAGTCCAAGCACTTGGGTCATCCTCTGCTGCCTTTCCAAGGCCATTAGCAGGGGATTGGAACAAAAGTAGAGTAGTGGGGACATGAACTGGCACCTATATAGGATGACAGCATTGCAGGTGGCAGCTTTACACAGTATGCCACAGCTACCAGCCCCTCAAACTGGATTTAAAAGGCTAAGACCTTTGATTCTCCCTTGTTGTGGGCCAGTTACCAATGTTCTAGCATTGATTACATCCCCTTAAACCAGCTGATTGTTCAAAAAGGGACATGGAAGGGCCAGCCTTGTGGCACAATGGGTTAAGTTGCCCCTTGTGTCACTGTCATCTCATACTGGAGTGGCTGTTTGAGGTAATGGCTCATAAGCCTGGCTCCTCTGCTTATGATCAGCCTCCAGCTAATGTGCCTGAGAAAGCAGCAGATGATTGCCTAAGTACTTGGGTCTCTGCCACCCACCCACATGGGAGACCTGGATAGAGTTCCTGTTTCCTGGTTTTTACCTTGGTCCATCACCAGCCATTGTGATCATTTGGGGAATGAAATAGCAGGTGGAAGATCCCAAAATCTCTCTCTCTCTCTCTGCCACTCTGCCTTTCAAACAAATGAAATTAACGTTCTTTAAAAATTACTTCTTAGGGACCGGCGCTGTGGCGTGGTGGGTAAAGCTGCTGCCTGCAGTGCCAGCATCCCATATGGGCACCGTCCAAGACCCGGCTGCTTCACTTCCGATCCAGCTCTATGCTATGGCCTGGAAAAGCAGTGAAAGATGGCCCAAGTCCTTGGGCCCTTGTACATATGTGAGAGACCCAGAAGAAGCTCCTGACTCCTGGCTTCAGATTGGCACAGCTCTGGCAGTTGTGACCATTTGAGGAGTGAACCAGTGGATGGAAGACTTCTTTCTCTCTCTCTCTCTCTCTCTCTCTCTCTCTCTCTCTCTCTCTGCAACTCTACCTTTCAAATAATAAAATAAATACATGTAAAAAATTACTTTTTAAAAGGCGCATGGAAAACAAGTATGTGAAAAATGGGAATACTGATTAGAAATTCCTTAGAGCCTATGTCATATAGCATGACCAATATGAATAACAGAATTCACTTGTAGTATTAAAGATGTACAAATTATCCTTGAAGGGGGCAGCATTGTGATATAACAGTTAAATCTACCACTTGCACCCCAGCATCCCATATGGGTACCGGCTGGAGTCCTGGCTGCTCCACTTCCAATCTAGCACCCTGGTTATGTGAGTGGGAAAGCAGAGGAAGGTGGCCCAAGTGCTTGGACCCCTGCACCCATGTGGGAGACCTGGATGATTCCAGCTGCTGTGGCCATTTTGGGAGTAAAATAGCAGATAGAAGATCTCTGTCTCTCCCCACCTCTCTCTCTAACTCTGGCTTTCAAAAGTAAAATAAATCTTAAAAAGAAAATTTCCGAGGCATTCCAAGAGCTGCTAGAGCTCTTATGTGCGCACCCAACTACTAGTGGGGCCAGTCTCCATGCTGTTGGCAGAGGCGACCGTGGCAGCTCACATGCAACTGGTGGGGATGGTGTCAACCCTGTCAACAGGACAATAGCAAGAACTTCGCTGCACCTGGTTGGCAAGGGGTGGTAGTGGGGAACCATCCCAACAGAAGTGCCACCTATAGAGAATCTTGTATGTGCCCAGCACAACTGTAAAATGAGTGTGGCTGTAGCCACCGGGTATTGTACATGTATGTGATCCAGGGATTTTACCAGAGGGAAAAATCCATGTTCTGCACTAACTTTGAGTCTGGCTGGGAGGATCAAGCTCAATCTGCCTGGCCAGAACACACATGGGTAGCGGTTCTGGGAACCCCTCAGTATCTCTGTGGGTGGGACAGGCTAACAGGGCAGAGTGGATCCTCTTGTACTCTTTCACTGTGGGAGCCTGGGGTGCTGGAACTGTGAAAACACTGTGACTATGTGAGAGGGTGCAGGGTCTTAGTGCGATCACTGTGAGCAGCTCCACATGCTCAGAATTCCCTGATTACCCAGGAGTGAGTCACTGCAATGGGATCCAGGCTCACACTGAGGACTATACAGATTCTTGATGCAGTCCAAGTGGTAGCACGGATGAGTACTACACCCATAAAGGGCTAACATCCAGGCACTAATTACCTTGGAAGAGAAGTGGTGAGGGTGTAGTCAAGCCAAAAGAGGTGACCATACCCCCTTTTCTGATAACAAGAGAAGATCTACCACACCCAAATTGTGTGTTACCCTCCATATTCACCCCACCCTGGAGAACTGACCAGCGCTCCCTGGTCACACCCACCACACTTCTCTGGGTATTCACTGAAAGAGCAGACATTCCAGTAGGCCACAGAGGCATACTTCAATGATAAAAGCCATCAGAGGAAAAAACTTAACAAATATCTACCTCCACAAATGCCAAAAAATAAATGCAGAAACTCAAGAAGCAACATTTAGGAGTTCCCCCAAAGGAACCCAATAACAACATTTTTAGAATGCAAAGATGAAGAAGCTGAGGAAATGCCTGAAACAAAATTCAAAAAAATAATCATAGGTTTTCTCAGAAACAACCAGAATAAAGTCCACAAACAAAAGAAAACCATACATGACGTGAATGAAAAAATTTCCCATGAAATTGAGATTTTAAAAAGAAATCAAACAGAAATATTACAAATGAAGAACTCAGTAGATCAAATAAAAAATGCAGTGGAAAGCCTTAACAACAGACTTGTGAGGCAGAGAAAAATATGTGAGATAGAAGTCAAATTTTGGGAAAGGTTTCAGTCAGTCCAAAATAAAGGAAGAAATTCGAAAAATTAATAACAGTGCTGGATTTTATCAAATGACCAAACATATGGGTCTTAGGAGTTCCTGAAGGAATGGAAAGAGAGAATGGATTAGAAGGCCTATTTAGTGAAATAAGCATAGAAAACTTTCCCCAATTTGGAGAAAAAGATGTCCAAGTACACGAAGTACATAGAACTTCAAGGGGCCGGCACCATGGCTCACTTAGTTAATCCTCTGCCTGCGGCGCCAGCATCCCATATGGGTGCCAGGTTCTAGTCCTAGTTGCTCCTCTTCCAGTCCAGCTCTCTGCTGTGGCCAGGGACAGCAGTGGAGGATGGCCCAAGTGCTTGGGCCCTGCACCCGCATGGGAGACCAGGAGGAAGCACCTGGCTCCTGGCTTCAGACTGGCACATCACCGGCCGAAGCGGCCATTTGTGGGGTGAACCAATGGAAGGAAGACCTTTCTCGCTGTCTCTCTCTCTCTCTCTCACTGTCTATAACTCTGTCAAATAAATAAAAAAAAAGAACTTCTAATAAATATAATCAGAAAAGAGTATTACTCATGATACACCGTAGTCAAACTTTCAACAATAAAACATAAAGAAAAGATTCTAAACTGTGCATGAGAGAAATGCCAGATTACTTCAAGAGGATCTCCAATTAGACTCACAAATGATTTATCAGAAATCCTAACAGCCAGGAAAGGAAGAAGATAAAACTGTCAACCCAGAATACTGTTCCCTGCAAAGCTCACATTCATGAATGAAGGTGAAATAAAGAACTCCATAACAAACAGAAATTGAAAGAATTTGTCGCCACATAACCAGCCTTACAAAAGATGCTTAAGGATGTAATACACACAAAAACACGACAAGATAGTCATCATTATGAAAGAATGTGAAGGCAGAAAATTCTCCAGTAAAAGTACAAAGGAAATCCCAAGTAAACAACAGGAATATTTATGGAAAAATTATAGGGCTGAGTTGTTACTCATCAATAGTAACCTTGAACCCTAATCCACTGTTGGTGGGAATGTAAACTGGTACAGCCACTGTAGAAGACAGTATAGCAATACCTCAGAAATCTGAATATAGATCTACCATATGACCCAGCTAATCTACTCCTGGGAATTTACCCAAGAGAAACGAAATCAACATATAAAAGAGTGATCTGTACCCCCATGTTTATTGCAGCTCAATTCACAATAACTAAGATATGAATCAACCCAAATGTCCATCAAACAGAGACTGGTTAAAGAAATTATGGTATATATATATATATATACACACACACACACACACACACATATGTACACACACTATGGAATACTACACAGCATTAAAAAATGAAATCCTGTCATTTGCAATAAAATGGATGCAACTGGAAACCATTATATTTAGTGAAATAAGCCAGTCCCAAAAAGATATGTTCCCTTTGATCATGGTGACTAATAGAGTACCTAAAAGGTAATTTATAGGAGTGAAATTGGCACTTTGTGATGTGATGATTTTGAACAGTCCTAGTCTTGACTGTTAAAGAACAATGTTTTTTGTTTGGTTGGTTCATTGTTTTTTCTTGTTTGTTTGTTTGTTTTTTCTTCATACTATTTGTTGAATTTTATACTTAGGAACTCTATACTTAGGACTAATCTTATGAGTATAAAGTTAACTGAAAATAGATCTTTGTAAAAAATAAGAATGGGAGAGCAAGGAGGAAGAAGGGTGGGAGGATGGGTGGTAAGAATGTAGAATGGGAAAAATCACCATGTTCCTAAATTTGTATATATGAAGTGATTTAGTCTGTATTCCTTAAATAAAATTTTAAATAAAGAAATTATCCTTCAAAAATCACTACAGTTTTAGAATATTGTCACTACAGTAAAAGAGTTAAAACTCAATGAAAGAACAGGTCCATCTTGTACTCATACAAATGACAGATTACAAAAATCAGATTTTGGGGGAAGAAAATCATATCTTATCTCAACATTTTAAACAGAGTATCCTAATTGCAATCTTCATTTTGGTGTCATAAATTTTCTAGACAATTACTAATTCCTTTTCCCAAATATAAGAAAAACTATTTATGAAGATTTTTTAACTTCTACACTTTATATATGAAAATAGCCATAGTATCATAAAATTTGCTAAGAATTTTTTCATGATACAGACAAATAACAATTAAAACCTTAATTTGATTCTTTTTTTTTTTTTACAAAAAGTCTACACTGCCTTTAATTTTTTTTAATTTATTTTATTTAAGAGACAGTGATACAGCAAGAGAGGAAGATAGAGAGTCGGAGTTCTCACATCCGGGCTCACTCTGCAAATGCCCACAATAGGCAGGGCTTGCCCAGGCTGAAGCTTGGATCCAGGAACTCAATCCAGTGGGTGGTGGGGACCCAATCACTTGAGCCATCTCTCAGGATGGCTCACACTAGCAGAAGCTGAAACAGAAAGCAGAGCTGGGACATGGACCCATGCACTCTGATATGGAATGTGGGATTCCCAACTGGGGTCTTAATTGCTATGTCAAACACCTCCTCCACACTTCAGTTTAAGAGAGGATTATCAGAAAGGGAATAAAGCCTAGCCAACTAATTCAATTCATTAGAATTTTGTGCAAGAAGCTATTAACTTCCCAGAAAACAAATAAGTTAAGGCATGTTTTTACCCATGTGGCAGTAACGTCAGTCTAAATTGGTAAAGGATTAATATCAGAGCACTCATATTCCAGAAACAAACACAAAGGCAGTGAAGTACCTGCTATACTGGTTATGTCCTTATAAATAATTCAAGCTAAAATATTTCAGTATAATAAAAATAGGCTGTAATACAATAAGATAGTAAAAGAACTCAAGTTTCAAGGTGAATTACTATTTGCCAGCACATGAAATTTAGAGTATAATTAATCAGAAAGGTAATAACAGAGTACATTAGATTTAAAATCTTTCCATGTATTTTAGCAAGCAGCAGAAAATGAGAGTTTATTTATCATTTCAATCAGCATTTTCTAAGTATTCTTGAATTTCAGTTAAACAAACAAAAAACTAACCCTTTTTTAATATATTTTCTTTAAGAGGACACTATTTGAATTGAGAGAAATAATTCAATAAGATGAAACATAAATCACACAATGTTAGTTGTGGTGGGATCCTATCTATCCACTTTCCTCATAACATTTTTCTAGGCCATTGAGCACTTAGATTCTCCATACCACATGGGCAAATACATGGCCCTGGTCTCTCCTGCACTATTTTCCCAAAGTCTTCTGACAACTACAAACCATTACTACTCTTCTCAGGAGTCAACCTGAGCCCACAACCCACCCTCAACAGGCAGGAGTTCAGGCAAGAGACACAGAAATAGTTTGCAAAATCGTGCCACTGGATGAAATCACTTTGAAAGTGATTATAAATAGAAAGTATAATTAAATCCTCGATTATTTAGCCCCACTCCCAAATGTGCTCCTCTCCACCTTCTCATATAAATTAATGGTATTTCTATCTACCAACTTGTTCAAACTAGAATTCATGGACATTTTCGATTTCTCACTATCTCTCTCTCTCTCTCTTTTTTTTTTTTTTTTTTTTTGACAGGCAGAGTGGATAGTGAGAGAGAGAGACAGAGAGAAAGGTCTTCCTTTGCCGTCGGTTCACCCTCCAATGGCCGCCACGGCTGACGCGCTGCGGCCGGCACACCGTGCTGATCCGATGGCAGGAGCCAGGTGCTTCTCCTGGTCTCCCATGGGGTGCAGGGCCCAAGCACTTGGGCCATCCTCCACTGCCTTCCCGGGCCACAGCAGAGAGCTGGCCTGGAAGAGGGGCAACCGGGACAGAATCCAGCGCCCCAACCGGGACTAGAACCCGGTGTGCCGGCGCCACTAGGTGGAGGATTAGCCTATTGAGCCGCGGTGCCAGCCCGTCACTATCTCTTACAGACCTCAAAATCTATCCCATATGTTGTCAGTAAGTACCATCTATTACCTTTGAAACATTTCTCATGTCCATTTAATTCCTATTTCCACAAACCTAATTCAGGTTGTTATTGCTTTAACAAACGGTATTCATCATTATGATATAATGCTATACAAATCATTATAGAATAGCTATTTACAAATACTAGAATTTCTCATGCTTTAACCAGACTCCGAGTTTCAGGAATAGAGATCAAATTATTGCCATGTAAGTATGTTTAACTGAATAAAAATACGAAAAGCAAGATCTTGCCATCTTTCTCAGAAAAATTAATTAATTAATTAAAAACACATGATTATACTATCAATGGATAAGTAGCAGCACCTCTTTTCTAAAGCACCACTGTTTTGTTTTTTTTCTTAATATTTATTGATTTATTTATTTGCGAGACAGAGAAGGAGACAGAGAGACAGAGAGGTATCTCCCACTACTGGTTCACTCCCCAAATGGCCACAACCACAGAGGCTGAGCCAGGCTGCAGCCAGGAGCCACAGCTTCTTCTGGGTCTCCCATGTGAATGCAGAGACCCAAGTACCCAAGTATTTGGGTACTTGGGCCATCCTCTGCCACTTTCCTAGACACATTACCAGGGAGCTGGATTGGAAGTGGAGCAGCTGGGACTCGAACAGATGTCCCAGGATCTGTTTTGTAAGACCAATTTGTTTTATCTTCATCTAGGAACATTAGTTTAAGATAATGATTAAAAGAAAACATAGAAACTTAAGACTAACAGGCCACACAGACTTCCTTGGAACAGACGAGAATGGATTACACCAAGGAGCAGGGTGTTCTCCTTTTAAGCAAAGATACTTAACATTCTAAATGTTTGTATATTGCAGTGTGTAATGACTTCAGAAAACAAAAGTTCAGAGAAATTAACTGAGGCCCTCCTACTTAACTATCTACTGGGGAGGTACAACTATTCATTAACTAGCTCCTCACATAAAGAAAGTGACAGAACACTCATGCTTTTCCTTCTCTTATCTACATATCACCAATTCCCTTTCCTTTTTTAAAAAGTCTCAATCTGGCCGGCGCCACGGCTCACTAAGCTAATCCTCCGCCTAGCGGCGCCGGCACACCAGGTTCTAGTCCCGGTTGGGGTGCCGGATTCTGTCCCGGTTGCCCCTCTTCCAGGCCAGCTCTCTGCTGTGGCCAGGGAGTGCAGTGGAGGATGGCCCAGGTGCTTGGGCCCTGCACCCCATGGGAGACCAGGAAAAGCACCTGGCTCCTGGCTCCTGCCATCGGATCAGCGCGGTGCGCTGGCCGCAGCGCGCTGGCCGCGGCGGCCATTGGAGGGTGAACCAAAGGCAAAAGGAAGACCTTTCTCTCTGTCTCTCTCTCTCACTGTCCACTCTGCCTGTCAAAAAAAAAAAAAAGTCTCAATCTAATTTGAAAATACTGTGCTTGCAATATGAACCCTGAATCATTTTTCTATGTTCCCTAGACTCATGACCAAAATAAAGGTTTATTAACCAAAGTAACATTAGGCACTTCCTTCAGAAAATTCAACTCTTTATTCTGTATCTTTACATAATTTATATGGACAGTTTAGGAATTGGAAATCAGAAACACATCAAAGTGGTCTCTTTGTAAAGATAAAGACTTTTAGGGTGGCTGGCATTGTGGCACAGAGAGTTAAGCTGCATTCTGTAATGCCAGCATCCCATATAAACACCAACTTGTGTCCCAGCTGTTCTACTTCTGATCCAACTCCCTGCTAAAACACTTAGGAAGGCAGCAGATGTCACAAGTGCTTAGGCCTCTGCCACCCACATGATAGACCCACATGGAGTTCTAGTCTCCTGGCTTTGGCCTGGCCCAGCCCTGCCTATTGCAAAAATTTGGGGAGTGAATCAGTAGATGGAAGCTCCCTTTTTTTCTGTTCTTCCCTCTCTCTAGTTATGCTTTCAAATAAATAAATCTTCAAAAAAAAAAAAAAAGAAGAAAAGATAAAATCTTTATTCATAACTGGCTTAACGAGACACTGAATATCTTCTCACAGTTGTATTATGAAAAACTGCATTGTTTCATTTTTCAGAACATTCCCCTACAGTTTCTTCCTGAATACAGGCCCTTGTCCCCAAGGCATTGGGCACTGTGCTAGAGGCACTGAGGAAACTCATTTGAAATCACAACCCTCGACCTTAAACACTAAGTGCTCTACTTCATTTACCTTGCTGACTTAGTTCAGATGCTGATTAAATCAAAGACAGGTTCCAGTTCTCTTTTTTCTCACCATCTGGAATCAACCTTAAAACAAAATATAGGGGCTGGTGTTGTGGCATAGTGGGTAAAGCCATGGCTATGATGTCGGCATCCCATAAGGGAGCCAGTTTCAGTCCAGCTACTCCTCTTCCAATCCAGCTCAATGCTAAGGGCCTGGGAAGAGCAGCAAAAGATGGTCCAGAATACAATGTTGAGGCAGCCATGTCTGGAAGAGAATGGAATGCAAGGAAAAGAAAGATGGGGAGAGAAAAATAGCAGAAATGAGGAGGGGAGAGACGGGAGAAGGGAGGCAAAGTCAAAGGAAGCAGATACTTACTTTTAAGACACCTTCCACAGCCATCTTCCCTTCATGTCCTAGTAAAATACTGTATGGATAAAGCCATTGAATTGCATGCTTGATTGACATCATAGGAAAGCAATCCTATTTAGGAGCAAAAAACATAGGAATGAGCAACTTCTAGAATAATCACAGAAAATTAATCTGAAATGTACATGGCATTAAAGTTGTCATAAAAATGGCCAAAAGGTTTTCTAGAAGTATAAAAATTAAATATTATTTCTCTTCTCTTCTTTTTCCTGGGTAAGCTAACTAGCTCCCCTCCCTCCATTCATTTTCTGACTATGTGTGAATGGCTCCTGTGCTTCTGTTTAGTTCTGAACTCTAGGCATGAATCATCAGTTGTCCACCACATGTGGCTATATGAACATCCCATAAACCTCCATTCAACACATGTGAAACTGAACAAATTTCCCATCCTATTCATCCCACAGTATCTCATCTTCCTCCTATACTCAATAATTTCCAATAATCTCATCGACATTCACTTAGCTTCACATTTGAAACTGTAAAGTTAGAAAGTATTCATTGAACCTGGCGCTGTGCACCCCGTATGGGTGCTGGTTCTAGACCCAGCTGCTCCTCTTCCGATCCAGCTCTCTGCTATGGCCAAGGAAAGCAGTGGAAGATGATTCAAGTGCTTGGGCCCCCACCTCGTGGGAGACCCAGAAGAAGCTCCTGGCTCCTGGCTTTGGATTGGCTCAGCTCAGCTCAGGTCATTACAGTCATCTGGGGAGTGAACTAGCAGATGGAAGACCTTTCTCTGTCCCTCCCTCTGACTGTCTGTAATTCTGCCTCTCAAATAAATAAATAAAATCTTTCTTTAAAAAAAAAGAAGAAAGTATTCATTATGCGCAAACCCTTCCCCCTCTAAATCAAATTATATTCTCAGTTCTTTCCATCCCACTGATCTACTGATGGGGCAATTAGGGAAATTTCAATATGGATTAGATGATTTTTATAGAGTTGTTGTTAATATGACATAAGAGTGATAATGGTTTACTGGCTATGTAGAAAAATACTATATTTCATAGAAGGTATATCCTGCAGGATTTAACAGCACTGACTGCAATTCACTTTCAAATGGTTCTGGAAATTTTAAAAAGTGGAAGGAGTGGCAGAGAGAAAGAGAAGGAATATATGCACAAGCAAACATGATAACATGTTAACAACTGGTGATTCTAGGTGAAGAGATTATAGGTGTTTGACCATTTTTCAACAGCTTTTTAAATATGAGAATTTCAAAGTAAAAATTATTGAGCAAAAAAAATGCAAGCACATGATTCGATAAATAGGAGGAGAAACACTGTTCTGAATATAAAGAACCATGTGAACAAGACCAGAGAAACCTAACTTTCTAATTTGCAGGTAACATTTGAAAACACACACAGATAGAAGCTTCAAACTAAGAGTCTCTTGCCTAAGGCAGTATTCCCCACGTCCTGCGACAAGTCGCTGCTCAGCAACACCTCACTGAGGAATGTGCACAGGCTCTGGGGTCCTCCTTGCTGCCGTCAGACAGAGATGTCTTCCTCAGATGTAAAACTGATCAGCTCACATGTCACCTACCTTGTAACCTGGGGTGGGAGCTTTTCCTCGTGATAAAATTCAGGCTACTTCACTCACCATGCCAACTACTTCATACTCGGGTTCTGACCGCTCCCTCCATCACACTCACTTTCATTCTCGAAGCATACCAGGTCCTTTCGTGACTGAACACACCTTTCCATGTGCTGTGCCCTCTGCCTGGAAGGCCATCCCATCGCTCCAGACATGACTGCCTCCAGTGCCCCTGTGAAGCTGCATGGGCAGTGTCGGGACTCTCCCAGGTCCCCTCTGGTCTGTATCCATTCTTTGTCTCTAAGTCCTCCCCTCCCACAGCCAATCACCACAAGTCTTTCTAAGATAATCGCCCCAGACCAGCTTTGCTCACAGGCAGGAGACTGCTGGTGCCTGGGAATCTGTGTTCCCTGGGAGCACCACAAACCAAAGACTGATGGATGCCAGTGTGTGAAAGCCCCAGCCGCCTCAGGCTGGGGTCACTGCAAGGCCTAATTTACGCTACAACACCCTCTTACTTGATGAAGCAAGAACTTTCTTCTGTGGAACTTTCGCTGAGACTGCCTGTCTACTTCCTCCTGCCCCAAAGCTGGAAGCTCATTAGAGGCCCAGAATATGTCCTTGATCTCCATACAGTTTACTGCACTGCACAACAAATTAATCTCAGGACTTGCAATATTTATAGAAGAACAAGACAAAGTTAAAAAAAAAATTAACTTTCAAATTTTGTTTGCTACATTTGGTGTATCAGTCATTTATTTATTTTATACATACCAGGATTTGAACTGCAGCTGGCAAACTATCTAAAGGAAAATCTGGAAGTCCAAGAGTAGAAGATTCTTGGGAACAGAGAGTTGTGGCAAAGGACAAGAGTTGAGAAATTCTAGGGAGAAAAAGGATAACAAATTTGTTTCTAATAGTTTCAAAATTTAAATATATATGAATCTGTTAAATATAAAAATAACTGGGCCAATTTAATTAATTTTAAAAATGGTTTCCTACTATTAATTATTAAAGAACAATGGCTCCATATCATAATATTCCACTTAAAACTCCAAAGTTGACATATACACAGATACATTTCCTAAATCTACCACAATATGCAAGGTTTTTTACAACCTGGCTAAAATCTGCCCTGTGAGCCTCACTTCTCTTCTTTCTAATCTCAATGCTAAATTTGATCCACTTGGAGCTTTTTATAGCCCTAAGAATAATGCTATAAACTCTCATATCCCATGGTTTAAAAACAAATCTCTCAGAACTGCTTGATGCCATTCTCTGGCAAAAGTCTACTCACTCTTTAGGACCTATTTCAAACACCAATGCATTAGGAAGTCCTTATAAAGACTCAACTACAAACAGCCTCAATACTTTGAAATTATGGCACTTACTATGTTATGTTTAACTAAGCTGTTCATATATCTTTCAGCTCTACCAGATCTAGAGTTTCTTGCCACCAAAGATCATATCTTACTAATTTTATCATCAGCACTTACCAACATCCTAATACGGAAAAATTCTTCAAAGAATTGTTGGATGAATGAGTGAATCAACTAGTCAATGAACAGGAAACACAATTTCAATGCTAAGAGTACAAATATGTTTAAAAATGTACTTACTTCTCAGCAGATACATTGGTTCCAACAGAATATAACAGTTTAAGTTGGTCCTAAAACAATGTAGAAACAAATCAAATCAATTAAAAAGAAATATAACAAATTAAACCCAAGTGTTTTATAGTACAACCCAACTTTTTAATTAGGCAGACACTAATTAACAGAAAAAAAATTTCTTGATAAATTTCATTTTCTAAAAGAAAAGACAGTCTTTTAAAAACTCTTTCAAATAATGCCGTGATAATTTTTCTTCCTGGTTTCCAGAGATTTTTCTCCACCTTATATCCATTTTGTTCTATTAACTACCAAGGAAGATGCTAAAAAAACAGTAATATTTTTATAGAATTGAATTACTAATTGGAAAATGCTGTTTTTAAAGATAATTCATCTTTAATCACGCTTACCTTGAAGGGTAGAAAATAAATATCTCTGGCTTGAAATCGAGAACGGAGAGGGGGATCTAGTGGATTTCCAGAGTACCTCGGCACCGGCAAACCTAAGGCAATCACTCGGAAATTTTCACTGACTCGGACAATCTTCCATGCATCCAACTCTGTTTTAGTATGATCCTTAAAAAAGTAAGAGATCAAAAAACCATGGCATACATGAAACAGAATACAACTTCAAGATCTGTCAGGAGAAGGAACTTTGGCCTTGACTCCTGAGAAACACATTCAAAAATCAATCTGTCAGGGCTGGCATTGCAGTGCAATGGGTTAGGCTGCCACCTGCAACATGAGATCTAATATGGGAACAGCAGTTCCAGTCCTGGGTGTTCTATTTCCCATTCAGCTCCCTGCTAATGCTCCTAGGAAAGCAGCAGAAGACAGACCAATTTCTTGGGCCCCTGCCACCCATGTGGCAAACCTGAATGGAGTTCCTGGCTCCTGACTTCAGGCTGCCCCAGCATGATCAACATGGCCATTTGGAGAATGAACCAACAGATGGAAGGTCTTTCTGACCTTCCTTCTCTTTGTCATTCTGCTTTTATTTTTAATATATTCATTTTATTTACTTGAAAGGCACAGTTACAGAAAGAAAAGGAAGACAGAGAAAGAGAGAACCTCCATCCTCTGGTTCACTACCCAGATAGCTGCAGAGGCTAGGGCTGGGCCAGGCCAGAGCTAGGAGCTAGGAACTTCTTGGTCTCCCACATGGATAGCAAGGACCCAAGCACTTGGATGGTATCTTTCGTTGCTTTATCAGGCACATTAGCAGGGAACTGGATCTGAAGTGGAGCAGCTGGGACTCAAACTGGTGCCCATATGGGATGCCAGCATCGCAGGAGGCAGCTTTATCTGCTATGCCACAATATAGGCCCCTCTGCCTTTCAAATAAATAAAAATAAGTCTTAAAAAAGATCCATCAGGTGTTTAATTAATGCTATAACTAGTACTCAAATAGTATTTTACACTTTGTGTTTCTGTGTGGGAGCAAAATGTGGAAATCTTTACTTAACATACGCTAAATTGATCTTCTGTATATAAAGATAATTGAAAATTAATCATGATGTGAAGGGGAAGGAGAGAGGGAGTGGGAGAGGGGAGCGTTGTGGGTGGGAGGGAGGACAGATGGGGGGGGGGGAGGCTATTGTGGTCCATAAGCTGTACTTTGGAAATTTATGCTCATTAAATAAAAAAAAATAAAAAATAAAAAAAAAGAAAACAAACACACACACACACACAAAAAGATCTATCAAGAAAAAAAAAAAAAAAACATCAAGTAGGAAGAAAAGTGAAATCAAGATCACTTTTCAATGCCAGGCTCACAAGGTGAGAATTTGCAAGTAAAAGTAGCTAACATACCAGAGAACAAAGGAAACTTGGGGCAGATCTTTGAGTCAGTAACTGAGCAAAAAAGAGTCAGGTTGGTAAGAAGCATATGTGATTATAAGCAGACCTCCAGCACAATGGAGACTGCTCATGGACCCTAACTAGATATGCTTATGAGTACTTATGAGTAAGGCATATTCCTGGTAAAAACTAATGTGCTCCATGAATTTTCCTCATTTAATTTTCACCAGAATCCAAAGAGACACTTAATCTCCCTTTTATCATTTGCCTGTGGTCCTGCAACAAGTATACGGTAGAGCTGAGAGAATGAAAACAGTATAGGTTTTGAGTAACTAATCCTAGTTCAACTGCTATAGCTGGAGCCTCAGTTTTATAATGTATAAAGTATAAATAAAATTCTCTACATTGCTACATCTACTATAAAAATTAAATGTGAGAATATATATGAAAGTAACTGATCCATAGAGGCACCAATAAATGTCATTTCCTTCCTTCTCTGCCCAACTCTGTCTTTACAGCCTTCAACAGTGGGATCCATGGTGCTCGTATAGTGTTGCCAGATCCTTAGAAGGTTCCCTAACAAGGTACTCAAGGTCGTTCCTGGGCAGGATTCAGCAAAGACCACACACCTGTCTCAGTGCCACACCTTCCCAGACCCTAAGGTCTATCTCATCTTGAAGCTCTCCAGACACATTGTGATGCTTCAACAACGCTGTTGTATTTCTGCGAAACTCCATTTTCATTTTGTACAGCATAAACACAACTACCATTCAAAGCTCAACACAAATGAAATCGTCATAAAAATGGGCCTTTTCTGATATTCTTTCCCCATTAGAATCTCTTTGTACCCCTTCCTTATACCCTTTGCAAGCTTCTATCACTAAACATTTGTGCATTCACTTCAATGTATGATTCTCTCATGCTAGATCCAGTCTCTTAACAGGATTTTTTATTCTTGCACATAGTAGGTCAAATGTCTGTTGACAGACTTCATGAATTACTTTAACAAATAACAATTATTTGAATCATAACCAAAATCACAAATGACAAAGTTAATTCAGAGACTGACATTATGACATTAAGTTACACATACTAAAAAGTGAGAGTCTGGATCTAGCCTGCCTGATAAACCAACAGAACAATCTTCAGAGCACTGAATATTTCCATTTTCCATGTACCTAAAACTGATAATCAGAATATAATGCACATACAAACTGATTATATTTGCTTCCATAATAACAATTGTACTCTAATCATCTCCATGAAACCAGTAAGATTTTTGACACATTAAAATTAAATATATTGAATCTATCTAGAAGTAAGTGGAGCTTAAATTGCAGATTTGGAAGCTTTTCACCACAGAAATTTTGTTAAGATGGAAAGTGTCTTATGAAAGGATCATGCCAAATTCTGTGAAGTTCCCATGAGACAGATTCTACCAGTACCAAAATAACATTTACTGATAAAAATCATGTATGTATAGTGATATTTACCTGGGGGAAAACAACGTAGTACATTTTTCCCACTTAATAATAGGCATTTCCTATATACTGCAACTCTTTTGATTTCTATATTTCAAGTTCCTACTCAAAGTATGTCCAATGTGTTCTATAACTCCACACAGAATTCTACTACTAGAACAAATTATGTATCAAACTAAAAATTACGTATCAAACTTTTGTGGACCTCTGTACTTTAATTAAAAAGATCCCATAATCTGAGTATTCTTTTTCAAATGATTTACTAGCGTGGGTGAATAACCATATAGTCTCTAAGGTAAATAGATATTTTATAATTAGAAAACGCCTACATAGAAAGTGTTCTGCATTATAGCCACTGCCTTTTAAAAGCAGTGAAAATATGTATGGCTCATTTCAGTAAACAATATGAAGGAATGAATTTAACTTTTTCTTATTGGTTAAATCCTCAATTATCCTCTTCTAGATCCAGAAGATAATGATTAAGCTGCACTGTTAAAAAAAATTCTAGAAATTCCCAAAGACAGTAAAGAGACTATTGAAAGGATTGCAAGGTGGGTTCCAGAGAAACAAACTTCTATAGCAGGAATCAGGAAGATAAAGTTCGTGGGCCTGCCAGCCAGGGAGCATCAGATCAATCAGATTCTCTGACATCAACATCTATTATTTAGTGTTTGTATTAGTATCATGGAGCAAGATCAAAAAGTAAAAAACACAGATCCTACTTTTGCGTAATCCACAATCCATCTGGGGTAGTAACAGTATAAACGAGTCTCTACAGAATAGGCTTGAGAGAGATTCTGAAGCCCTAGAATGCGAGGTACAGCTATCAGCCGCAGAAGACTGGATGAGCTGCAGAGCTCCACTGCGGTGCAGCTTGAGCTGAACGAACAACGGCTATGTGTCCTCTCGTCACTCATATTCTACGACCTCCTCTTCAAAGTACTGGAAGAGTCCTGATCCCAGAATTGTTACCCTATTTATATGCACATGTATCACAGCACTTCGTTATTTTTTACACTTATTCATTTATTCAACAAATAGTTACTGAGCAGCTATCATGTATCAAGCATTGTTTTAGGAACTTGAGATAACATCAGTGACAAAAATTCCTGCCCCTGTGAAATGTATATTCTAGTAGGGGGAGGCAGACAATTACCTAAAAACATAGTAAGCAAGGTATTTAGGATGGCTAGAAGATACATCAAAAAAAAAAAAAAAATAGCAGGATAGGGAAGCATGAAGGCAGACAGAAGACTAGAACTCTAAACAGGAGCAGAGGCTGCACTGATAATGTAACAGTGGAGCAAAGCTTTGAAGTAGGTACAGGAGTGAGCCAAGCAGACACCTGGAGAAAACCGTTCTGCGAAGAGGAAAGTACTCACACAAGAGTACTCACATGTTTATGGTATAGTGAAGAGAATATTAGTAGCTGAAGCAGAGCGCAACAGAAGGATAGAAAGAGTGAAGGCAGAAGGTAGAAAGGACCTATATTGGACCACTATATTCCATTGTCAGCACTTTGAATTTTGACTCTTGAGTGGAACATGAAATCATTAGGGTTAGGGCATAAGAGTGACCCACTCTGGTGCCTACTTTATTTATTTATTTATTTAGACAGGCAGAGTGGACAGTGAGAGAGAGAGAGAGAGAAAGGTCTTCCTTTGCTGTTGGTTCACCTCCCAATGGCCGCTGTGGCCGGCGCACTGCGGCCAGTGCACCGCGCTGATCCGAAGCCAGGCGCCAGGTGCTTCTCCTGGTCTCCCATGCGGGTGTAGGGCCCAAGGACTTGGGCCATCCTCCACTGCACTCCTGGGCCACAGCAGAGAGCTGGACTGGAAGAGGAGCAACCGGGACAGAATCCAGCGCCCCAACCAGGACTAGAACCTGGGGTGCCGGCGCCGCAGGCGGAGGATTAGCCTATTGAGCCGCAGCACTGGCCATCTGGTGCCTACTTTAGAGGCACCACCCACACTGCTGGGTTGAAAATTGTGGAAGCGGGCAATGATAGAAACAGGAAGTATAGATAGGAGCTTCTCACAATAACCCAGGCATGAGATGCCAGTGGAGCATCAGGGTATCTTTTCAACATCTGACTCATTTTTGTCAATTCCTTCTGGACTTTGTGCTTCCTAAGGGCAAGAACTAGACTTTACTCAGCTTTGCATCCCTGATGCCCAGCGCAGTCCAGAAGTCATGATGCTTTTAAATAGTCCTTGAAAGAAGTAAGAGAAGGGGAAAGAGCAGAAAGCAAAGAAGGGAAAAGGAGAAGGAGAAAAATGAATAAGAGAATAGTTATTAGACTGATGAGAAATTAAGAGTAAAAATCTGCACCGTCTTCCAAGCTGGTATCCAAAACTGCCAACTCAGGACCTGACCTCAGTTAACTGCCACAGACATGGGCAGCTGGGCATCTGTCCCGATTCCAAGATAACCAGGTCTTACAGAACGAAATGGCACTACCCACAATGTGATGGCAAAGACAACACAGCCAAATTTTTTTTTCTTACTTGGAGAAGTTTGTCGTAACGTTCAGCAGACATCAGGAAGCGTCCATCTTCAAGCTGCATCTCTCTGTTCTCCAACAAGTTGTTCAAAACAGGCAGAACGTTCCTCTCCGCCTTCTCCAAGCCTTCCAAAACCAGAGTTCTGCCTTCTGTGGCTGCGCGGACTGCACACTATAGCCCGGAAATACAAAGGCAAAAATGAGACAGGACCAAAACAGGACTCATTAAATCAAGCCCATCCCGACCTCACATGTATCTTCTATAGCTGCAAGCCAATCAGGAGCAAAGAGCACCCAGATCCTAATTTCAAAAGATCTCCCACTATCCTGTTAAGGAATTGTCCAACCCCCATGCCCGACCAGAATAACCCAGGACCACCAATACATGACCTTCCTGGCAAGGCAGTGGTGAGCAATCATGCCATTTTGAGTGTGTCACATGCTAAGAAAGGAAAAGTCCCTGCACAGGACACAGAGCCAGTTGTAAATTGAAATTTGACTGCTGTATGACAAAGGGAAAGAGACGTGAGACCAAGAGGGCAAAGCCACACCTCCTCAACTGGATAAAAGCCCATGTGATTCTGTCAAGTAGCCAGTCTACAGAACCTCTTCCTGCCAGGCTGTCTCCCAATAAACATAAGGTCCAATAAACCCTGCCTGGCTGTAAATTAGCCTCTTGTCAATTTCCACTGCAAGGGAGGCAAAGAACCTGACGGGTAACAAAATGAGAATACAGGGGCTGGCGCTGTTGGGCAGCGCCTGAAGCACCGGCATCCCATATGGGTGCCGGTTCTAGTCCTGGCTGCTTCTCTTCTGATCCAGCTCTCTGCTATGGCCTGGGATAGCAGTAGAAGATGGCCCAAGTCCTTGAGCCCCTGCACCCGCGTGGGAGAACCAGAAGAAGCTCCTGGTTCCTGGCTTCTGATTGGCACAGCTCCGGCCATTGCGGCCACCTGGGGAGTGAACCAGTGGATGGAAGACTTTTCTCTCTGCCTCTACCTCTCTCTGTAACTCTTTCAAATAAATAAAATAAAATATATCTTAAAAAAAATAAAAAAACAAAATGAGAATACAGAAGACCTAACTTCACTTCACTACAAATTATACTTGAGGTTCTTGTTATGGGAACAGCAATTGGGACAGCTGAAATCCAGATCTTTGTACTTCTTTGGACCTGATTATTTGTAAAATATAGAGAAACTGAGAGAAATGATCTGTAAGGCTCCTTTCACCTTTAACATTTTAAATTTTATACCCAATAAAGGATAAAGCAGCTACATGAGAACAAATAACATATCAAAACAATGGAACAGGTCTCAGAAGCATTTAAGAGAAATGGCTCACAATCAACCCTGTCTTTGCCTTCAGAAGCTTCTTATGAGGCTCATGCAAGCTAGGTGAGAAGGTAAGGTTTTCCAACCGGAGCCATCACCAGAGTGAATTCAGGGGTAGTATGAAGTGCAGAGCTGACCATATGAAACACTTAGCACAAGACTCACATCCTATCCTTGGCCGAGAGCAGAATGACTTCATCAGTACTATAAGTTTTCCAAATGTCAGAAAGTTAGTAATGGAGAAAATTGGGAAATAAAGTAGACCACACAGAGAGACCAGAAAACTGCTAATACCAAAAAAATTATGAAATGTAAAAAAAAAAAATTCTCCTTTACCTGACAGGACCCGAATAATATAGCAAACAACTATTTTTCAATCAAAATCCTTTAAAATTTGCTAAAAAATGGAAAACCACAGTCCTGTTGCTTCTGTGCATTCAATAACAGAGGATTAGTGGTGTCAAATTTATATTCTTACCCTCTTCTTTACAGTCATCTTCTTTGCCTTCACAATACTACATTCTCCTAGGAAAATATTTTCTCTTTTTTGTTTTTTAAAATTTATTTCTTTATTTGAGAGGCAGAATTACACACAGAAGAGAGGTCTTCCATCCACTGGTTCACTCCCCAAATGGCCACAATGGCCAGAGCTGGGCTGATCAAGGCCAGGAGCTTCTTTTGGATCTGTCACATGGATTCAGGGGCTCAAGTACTTAGGTCATCTTCCACTGCTTTCCCAGACCATCAGCAGAGAGCTGGGTCAGAAGTGGAACAGCCAGGACTTGAACTGGTTCCCAAAACAGATGCTAGTGCCACAGGTAGAGGCTTAACCCACTGGGCTACAGCACCAGCCCATATTTTCTCTTCTGCCTGTCCACTAATTGTAGGTGATGCCCACAATCCTTAACCCACAATTTGTTTTACTCTACAAGGACCTTCCTGAGCAATCTTATCCAATACACAGTTCCAACCACTCTTTATGTTAATGCCTCTCCAAATTCAAACTCTCTCACACTTCAGAACCACATGGTCCCATCACACGTAGGTCTCCAACCAGACCCTAGAAGCACCTCAGGCTCTCCTGTACAACACTAATCCATCTTTTTTTTTTTTTTTTTTTTGTACATATTAAATTGTTTGAAAGTCAGAATTATGGGTATGTGGTTTTTTTTGGGGGGGGGTGGGGGGATAGAGTGAGAGAAAGAGAGAGAGAGAGAGAGAGACATCTTCCATCCATTGGTTCACTCCCTAGATGACCAAAATGGCAAGGCCTGAACCAGGCCAAGGTCAGGAGCCTGGAGCTTCATCCAGGTCTCCCACGTGGGTTCAGGGGGTTAAGCAGTTGGGTCAACATCCGCTGATTTTCCCAGGCACATTAGCAGGGAGTTGGATCAGAAGTGGAGCAGCTGGAACTGGAAGAGGTGCCCATATGGGATGCCAGCATCGCAGGCAGTGGCTGTACGTGATATGGAACACGGGCCCCCAACACTACTCATTTTATTTCTTTCTCACAAAACACGCTTCTCCTTTTAACTTTCAACTTAAGATTGGCATACCATTCACCCATGCCTGGACTCTTGACCCTATCTCACTATGATTTGATGATGAAACCTCCTTCATGTTTTTTGAACTGCTCCGTTTCTACCCCTGTCCTAGTTCATGGCCTCCTTACCTTTCAGATGTCCTTCCTCATGGTCCAAGCTCCCTAATCTGACATTTAAGCCTCCCACAATATGGTATCTCCAACACCATCTCCTAACACAAGATACCTCACATGTGGGACTTTTGTGACAATGAATTGACTATCATTGTCCCTACACATTCTGCTTCACTAGACAATCTCCATGCCTTTCCTTAGACGGACTGCTTAAAATTTAATTTTCCCTTTAATAATTAGCCTAAACAGAATCTGAATGTTTGAAGAAGGAAAAACATAACTATTATTTTCTGGACTTAACAAAGCAGTCATTTTTTTTTCTTTTTGACAGGCAGAGTGGACAGTGAGAGAGAGAAAGGTCTTCCTTGGCCATTGTTTCACCCTCCAATGGCAACTGCAGCCAGCGCACCGCGCTGATCCGAAGCCAGGAGCCAGGGGCTTCTCCTGGTCTCCCTCGCGGGTGCAGGGCCCAAGGACTTGGGCCATCCTCCACTGCACTCCCGCACCACAGCAGAGAGCTGGCCTAGAAGAGGGGCAACCAGGACAGAATCCGGCGCCCCGACCGGGACTAGAACCTGGGATGCCGCCACCACAAGTGGAGGATTAGCCTATTGAGCCGCAGCGCCAGCCAAAGCAGTCATTTTCTGAAACAAGTGTTGCTCAGTCAAGCTTGCATACTGTCTTCTTTTAATAAACGGCTTACGTTTACACTGTATAAGAGAGCTCAGATTACTACAGGTGTCACCATATTAACATAAAAGAATAAACTTCTTTGAAGCGTAATGAGACTTGAGTTAATCAACTCATTTTAATAAGATAAATGTGGGGTCAGCGCTGTTGTACAGTGGGGCTAAGTCTCTGCCTGCAGTGCTGTAATCCCTTATGGGTGCTAGTTCTAACCCTGGCTGCTCCTCTACAAATCCACCTTTCTGTTACGGCCTGAGAAAGTGGTAGAAGATGGCCTAAGGCCTTGGGCCCTTGCACCCATGTGGGAGACCTAGAAGAAGCTCCTGGCTCCTGGCTTTGGATCACCTCAGCTCCGGCTATGTCGGCCTTTTGGAGAATGAACAAGTGGATGGAAGACCTTTCTCTCTCTCTCCCTATCTCTGTACTGTAACTCTCTCAGATAAATAAGATGTTTAGAAAAAGAAAAAAAAGAATCAATTCAAGAATAATCCTTCAAATCTATCAATATAGCACATATTTTCATAGTCTTTTACCAAATTGGCCAATCTATTACAATGGTGTTTTTTTTTTCTTTCTTTTTTTTTAATGCATGGGTAGAAGTGACCTACTAGTTTCGCGGGAATAAAAATATAAGAATCTCATATTTTTCTAGCTGTGTAAAGGACAAAGCCATAAAAATAACTCCTGGGACATTAAAAGTCAAAACACAAACTACTTCTTTAAAAACTTCATTTTTCAGTTAGGTCTCAATTAAGCCTTTGTTCACAAGAATCTATTTACTGCAAGAAACTAAATTATCAGAACCTGTGGCAATAATATTTTTTAAAACTAAAATTTTTTTTTAAAACTAAAATTTTTATCAGCCTTTGATACAAGCCAGACTAAAGACTGTATCTGGGGGCCAGTGCTGTGGCGCAGCAGGTTAAAGTCCCAGCCTGAAGGGCCAGCATCCCATGTTGGCGCTGTTTCAAGTCCCGGCTGCTCCACTTCCGATCCAGCTCTCTGCTGTGGCCCAGGAAAGCAGTGTAAGTTGGCCCAAGTCCTTGGGCCCTTGCACCCATGTAGGAGACCCAGAAGTTCCTGGTTCCTAGCTTCAGACTGGCCCAGCTCTGGCCACTGCACCCACTTGGGGAGTGAACCAGCAGACGGAAGAGCTCTTTCTCTCTCTCTGCCTCTGCCTATCTGTAACTCTTCCAAATAAATAAAAATAAATCTTAAAAAAAAGACTGACTTTAAAAATTTCATAGAGATGAAAATACATGTTTTCTGAGACAGAACTAGAATTATACAGATAAAAATACACTGGCTCAGGGATTCTAAGATGGCAGATTATGGAATGACATACTGCACTAGGCTAGGGGTAAAGAATAAATATAATTGAAAAAAAATAGGAAAACATCATGCTGAGTGAAATAAGCCAGTCCCAAAGGGCAAATATCATATGTTCTCCCTGATCAGTGACAACTAACAGAGCACCAAAAAGAAAACCTGTTG